TGTGGTTCCCCGGAGGCAGCCGTGCCCCCATGCCCCTTTCAAGATGTCCGCTGGCCGCAGGTGGCTCCACAGAGTGGAGATTGCAATCTCAATCCCGTACCAGCAGTTCGCGCTTTTTCGCTTTTTGCTCATTTTGGTGCTAGTTTGCCACTGGCTGGCCTGCATTTGGGCTATGACACTCCAGTTGGCAGATCCAATTTATCCGCAATGGATCAACGACATCGAGATTATCGACTCCCAGTTTGGGATTCTCAGCTTGTCCACAGCCGACCTTTTAAGTTTTTGTTTTTCCCTTTTGGTCTAAATTTAGCGGAAGGTTGACCATTCATTGCTAGAATGCTGGGCAAGTCAGGATTATTACCAGAGACTCCCCGCTGCGCACATACATCAGCTCCTTGTACTTTTGCACTTACACCATGACCTCCGTCGGCTATGGAGATATTGGTCCAAAGCACCTTGGTCATGCATTCTGTTTGTGTGTGGGTGTTTTTCTCCTGCTTGAAGCGATGCATCTCAAAAACGGGAATCACAAGCAATGACCTCATCATCCCATTGGGCTGCTTACATGGGCATGGGCCAAAGGATGTTGCCCGCGAAAATGCGTGCTTTCTGGCTCGCGGATGTAACGTGTTGAGGGCACTCGTAATTTTTGAGACATCCCATGCCAGCCATTGAGCGATGGCGCAAGATGGGCCTTCGACTTGGCCACGGGATAAGAAATAGCCTCACGAACCAGGCTTGCAACAGGATCTGCTCAGCAGCTGAGGGAAGGACCCTTACTATGTGGCTTCCTTTCAGACCCCTGAGTTCATTCCCAGATTCCTTACTTCTCGCACCAGCAAGTAAGTCACTTTGAACTTGAAGAGTTCGACGACTCAAAAATCGGGACCCCCCCTCTCCATGAGAAGAATCCACACGTGGATTCTCGAGAAGAAGTGCAGAGCAGCCAAGGAACATCGCGGAACGCATTGTGTGCACACTTATCGTCTTGACCGCTGGCTTGTGCTGGGCCTACGTGCTTGGCGAGGTCTGCGCCATTGTGAGTGAGCCTGGGCTCAGCTCCCCTTATCCTGAAACCAGATGGTACTTGTAGTGGCTTCCCTTTTTGTGGAGCTCCAGAATTTGGAAACCCAGGACCCCTCTCCCATTTTGAAAATCCCCGTGAAGAGTCGTCAATGAGATGCGCCTTATTGGAGTGCCAATGGCCCCTCCATGCACCAACCTTTGCGCATAGTATTCGCCCCACCTTGTTTCTATGGGGGTCCTGTGGGGGCGCTTTGAAAGAGCAATGTGTGCGTGTGCACATACATGTGTGTGTGCCCTCCTTTGTCTTTCTTGACAGCTTCTTGCCGTACCTTACTGACTGTGCTTGTTTGATTTGACCCAAGGACATGAATGCCGAGAGTCAAGGCTTTCGCAAGAAGATGACCGAGCTGAACCGTATGATGAAGGAGCAGGGCTTGCCATATGACCTCCGCTGCCGCATGCGCAGCTTCTTCCTTCAGAACCGGTACCAGGCGGGCGAGTGATCCGCAACAATGCCCCTCAAAGGGAGACTTCATAGGCAGCTCTCGTTTAAACCAGGGTGCCGACGCTTCCTTTCTAAGGGCACTTATCACAGACACCTGTTGCTATGAAATGCCTCCGCTTGACGCTCTCTCTTTTTTTTGCGCGTCAGCGCAGCGCATGTTGCGCGCCAGGCGCTGTACGTGACCCGCCAGAAGCTCCGGGAATGTATGAGCCCGCAGCTTCAGTCGGAGATTTGCACCGCGGTGAATGCCCCATGGATCTCGAAGGTCCATTTCTTCTCGACACCTTGCCGCAGGTTCGGAGCTCGATTGTGCTGCTTAGATGTGGTTTCCCCAGTTTGATTCATCACAGAAACATACGGAGCCTGCCTTGTGGCCGAGCCCCCAACTGCTCGGCGTCAAACAGACCCTGTTCCGCAAGAGGCTCCAAAGGAATGGCGCGACGAGATGCTGTATCCAGCATCGGTTGGTTTTGTGGCTTGTTGGCCGGAAGAAGCTGGCAGGGACCTTGTTTGACGTGAAATGATACATCCATTATTTTTTGTTACACGCCAGGGAGCCTATATGCAGGGAATTGTGCCATCTACTATCACCCAACTGTAATTTGCCAGCTGTTGAATCGCAAGATTTTCACTTCTAGTTGGGCAAAACTGAAGCAAACTGGGACCCATTCCCACCCAGATGATCAATCTATTCATGTTTACCAGTGACATGCTTACGTAAGTTCAAACTTGCATCCAATTCTCGAATCTCTTAAGGCGGGGGGTCCGTTGTGTTTTTCAGGCTTGAACACTCCTTGCTTGGCGTCCAGGATGCCTTACTTCAATGTTCTGGCTTCCTTGGTTCCTCCGTCCGGGTTTCCTCAGGCTTTGAAAGGAAGGTGGCATGACTCGGCATGACCATCTAAACATTCGAGTTGAAATATTTCACTTTCCATGTCACTTCAGAATGTTGGAGGGAAGTACGGTCGTGCAAGTGGTTGCGATGTTCTTTGGTACGCTCAAGAACTTCGGCTGAGGAAGTTCATGGAGTACGTGGAGGACGCTGAAGCGAAGGGTGTGGACGTGGACGCCTACAGGGCCTGCATTGCGGACGTGTCCCGGGAGCTTAACTGCGGTGCATTCTCTCAAGGGGAGCGGTTCGATAATGTGCAACTTGGCGCGAAGAAATGCCGGGATTCTCGTCTTGCTTTGGCCAACCTGGCGAAATACATGCGAAGGGCGGGTTTTTCCTGGATTTCAACTTAGTTTTCACAGGGAAGGAGGTACCATCAAGGCCTCGAGGGAGGTTGGGGGGGCTTGCCCCCTCATTCAGTTTCAAGAGGACGGGCTGTTCAATGCGCAGCAATCGACAGCCTTCGTTTTTCCGATGTGTTGGTCGGATTCCGCGCCAAAAACGAGAGAGCCCAAACCAAGAAATGCGCCTTGTCTTTCTTTCTTTTTTTTTTGGCGGTCACGTTTGCAAGTATCCGGACCCCTTGGCTTGAGGCAAGTGCTCTACATCGTCTCCAAGGGCATTGTGGCGTTGAACAGCCGCGTGGGGACCAACGGGGCCGTGTGGGGCGAGGATTTCGTCCTGCAAGACACGAGCCTGATCCGGCCGATCAAGGGCTGCGCGCTGACCTACCTTGAAGTCTTGCCCCTCGGTTAGGAGGTTTGAAGGCGTCCATAGAGGAGCCACTGCTGAAGCGAGCTCACCATGCACCCATGTTGGTTTTGGAAGTAGTGCAACACAATTCAGGCCATGCGAAGAGGGAGGCCAAAAGGAAGGTCGCAGTTTTAGTGTGGGTCCCCCTTTTAGCGCTTTTAGTGAATCCAGTGAAGAACAATATGCGTTTTGATTTGGCTGATCTGAAGATTTAAGTTTCCAACATGTGCTCTAGATTGTGGTAGCATCTTCTCAGGACACTAGTCTGTGACAGTCTGTGCGGTTCCTGGAGTAGTGTGACTTAAGAAAGCATAAACCCCCCTCCCTTACCCCCCCTTCCCCTTGAGACATGCTATAGCACTGCTATTGGAGTGTTATAGTACTGTTAAAGTATTTGGCTCCCAAAGGGTTCCCCACTGACTGGCGGCGCGACACGCCCTGGAAAATGACACCCACCACTACGCTCATGCTGTGGCCCTCGCACCCCTTCCTTCCCCGTCCCCTGCCCTTCACGTCCGCTCCCCCGAAGCTTCAGAAGTCCGTAAGTCTTCCGCAAGGCTTCCGGAAGCTTGGAAGCTTCCGGAAGCCTTGGGGAAGCTTCCGGAAGCCTTGGGGAAGCTTCGGGAAAACGGGGGGGGGGAGGGGGGACCACCCTTGTCTCATCCCCAATCTCCCCCCCCCTTTTTCCCGAAGCTTCCCTATGGCTTCCGCAAGCTTCCGCAAGGCTTCCGGAAGCAGCTTCCCATTTGGCCCAAAGCAGGGGGTGGGTAAAGGGGGGGGGTTGAGGCTTCTTAAGTGACGGGGAAGGCCTCGCGTCTGTTTGCAAGGCTAAAGATGTGCGACAAGAAACGCACGCCAGAGTTTGCCGAGCCAAACTTACGTGCTCGACATGACGCGGATCCTAGCTTGTTTTCTCATGGTGTTTGAGGTCGCGGATCCTTTGGTGTATTAAGAGGACTTCCTGATTGTTCCACATACTAATAGTAATATTTCCAGAGGTGCATTGTTTTGGATGTTAGGACTTTAACTTTTCGCCAACTAATGGGTTTTCCGGATTAAACCACTAAAAGTCGGTCGCTTTCAGCAGGGGAGCAGAGAACTCGCAACCGAGTAGTCTGGGATGTTTTGCGAAATGTTTGAGGTTCCTCACCCGAGAGAAGTTCATGAAAGTCATCGAGCACCGGAGGCACACCTGTCCATTCCTGGGCCAGGCAGGGCTCCAGGGCCCCAGGGCTCCGGGCGACGCTGACGCTAGGGCTTTGTCTTTTGGGGGAGGGGGGTGCCCCCTGGGGATTCCGTTTATGGTTCTCCTTTTCATGGGAAAAGCGAAACGGAATTTGGGACTTTTCCTCCCTGTCATGGTACGGGGATGGGAACCCCTCCCCCCCGCCCAATTTTTTTTGGGCGGGTGTTATGCTGATTCGGCTTGAAAACCAAGCGACAGCGGCTTCCCCCGAGCGGATTAGTTCTGTTCAGAATGGGTAAGTCGCCGCCATTGCCAGTATTCATCCTTTCCACACATCTCGTTCTTCTTTCAGGCTCCTGTTCTCCAAGCCAGGCCAGATTTTTGTTTCTGGAAGTTGCCTGAACCATCCGATTTTGCCCTGACCAATAGCAACCGGGGACCCCGGACATGGCAATTTGGGGGCCTCAAGCAGCCAACGCCCGACGGGCAACTCGTCCACTTTGACACCCTCTTTGACACCCCAACGGCTTGAGATCTAAGACTCAGACCCACTAACATACTGTGGATGGACAAAATCCTGCACCACTTTGAAACCATGGGAAACCACACTTTGTTGGTATTTACAGGGAATCAGACCATTCCAGGGCTTCTTAGGTGGTGCGAAATGGATTTTGTCCATCCACAGTAGGGTCAACCCCCCAAACATCGTGGGTTCCCTGTACCAGTGCCACTGGATTTCTGTTGGCCGGGCCTTTGACGCTGAGGTGGTGCGCCAGTTCTGTGTCCGCTTGGCGGTCCGGAGGGGCTTCATCCGAGAGGCCGAGCGGAGGAGCGGGGTGAAGATCAAGCCGAAGATTTTGGTGAAGACGGTCAAGGACAGGGTTGTGGGATGTTGTGGGATTTCGTGAGGGTATGGGTCAAAATTAAACCACCAGGATATGGACCGCAGGTTTTAGTCCACGTTTCCATTTGCCAGGGTTCCATTTTGGGTACGTATTTTTGACCCACAGCCAGTTTTTCTCCACTTCTGTGATACAATGGTTACAACTGAAGTTTCCCACTGGTCAAGGAGCACAAGGAGACCTCGCCCAAGTCGGCCAACTCGCCCAAGGAAACGCAGAAGGCGACTTATCAGACATCTAGAGGCCTTCTCACACATGCCTTATCGGGATGGGGATCAGGGCATGCCCACTGGCTATCACATGTGGGAAGTGTTTGGGCAGGGGGCCCTTTTGCTACTTTTCACCCCCTTCATAGAGTGCCTGCCCTCACACATTGACTCTGCAGCTGTTTAAATGTGCCGTGTTTCAAGAACACAGCCCAGCAAGGAGACTCACGTGTGTTGTGTTCTGTTCGGAGGTATGCCCTGCTAGGTTGCCACATTTGCTTCTGCTGTTGATTGGGGTTATTCAAAAGATTGCCCCTGTTGCAACCACATCGCCAAATGAGGTGATGGAAGAGGCCCTTCCGCCTCCTCAGCTCCCGTCGCCGAAGGCGGGGCTTGAACCTTGTTTCTCTGGTTTCATTCCATGTCTGGGGAAGGCCAGTTTTGTTCATATCAAAAGGTTTGCTCAAAAGAGTGTAAGAGTGATCCAACAATCTGTCTCCAACACGCCCTAAAATAGGAAGGGAAAGGGTCATCCGTCCCTTTTCCCATCTTATTTAATACATTTCCATTCGATTATGCCGCGGTCACCCACCTGGCTTGGGTTAGTTGTCACCCTTCAGGGCAGTTGGACCTTTGAATTGAACACACAGTTTGGTGCAACTGTCAACCTCAGACTCGTCAACTCGGCCGAACAAGTGCTCTCCCGAAGGTGCTCCTCTACAAAAATATCCACCCCGCACAGAGTCAAGGGTACATGTCAGGGAAACCAACTAGCAGGGATTCAGGGGGGAACCAGGGATACGGGAGGATTCCCCCTAAATGCACCTTGACTAAGTTCGATATGGGAAATGGCACCAGGGGAATCCCCCCATATCCCCGCTCTCTCCGTATCCCCGATTGTTCGCTTGTCCAAATATGTTTCCCTGGGCTCGCATCACGGAACCCAATGAGTTTGTGTTCCTCCGGCATCGGTTTACAAAAGCGAGCGCCGGGCATGCGCTCAAGAAACGTCGCACCGCTGAGCCGCTGCCAGAACATTTGCCCAAAGAGCGGCCTGCCTGGATCACTGAATGATGAATGCTGAGGTAGGTGGCTCGTTGAGCAGAGGCCTGTAGGTGGACCCGACTGCAAGAACTGTTGCTTCAAAAGGAGCCCCGAATCCGAAGCAGGGGCCAGCATGACCCAGTACGCCCACTTGGGTGCCAATATCTTTCAGGGCATCTTTCTTTGTGGACCCTTGGAGGGTCCGATTTCTGAAAACGCGCCTTCGCAGCCACGCGTTTCCGCGTGGCGCGGGCCCTTGCGGGCCCCTGGTGCTCTCGTAGAATTTACGGCTGGATGCGTCCAGTCGTCGTCGGATCCACGGGTCTCCCTTTTTGCCCGGCATCGCCGCATCAAAGCCTTGAAGTTGATCCAAGAGGTACCTTTGGACCTTGGGGGAATACGGGGCCCCCACAAAGGCGGGTTACACGTTCACACGGCCCTTTGTCTTCCCCATGGCCAAAAGGGAAAGCTTGGATGCAAAAACTTACATATTGAAGCCTGCCTTTTCGAAGAAGGGCCTTGTAGGGGCCATGGGCTTGCCGGTGTTTCACCTGGCCTTGAGCACCACGCTTTTTCTGGAGGCAAGTCTTCAGTGTGATAGCTCATCAATCAGTCCGAGTTTTTGAACTGCAGCCCTCCAGTCTCCTTGTGCTTCATGGGCCACTTCGTGCCCTGTCTTCGCCTTTTCACTCCGGGCTTCCTGCTGCTGACCCGATATCGCCGAATGAGAAAAGCTGCTTTCGCGACGTTGCCTGAAGCGCTGCCCAGCAGCAGTCAAAGTCAGGACTTTGTGTTTTCAAGTCTTGGGGCTCGGCCGGAAGTCGAATCCCTTGTCTGGGCTGTGTACTGGGTCCTTTTCTGGTACTGTTGGACTCTGTTTAATCATTGGGGTCGCTATGAGAGATGTTGGTTTTTGCTAATTCAGAATCCTGGCACTGTTCTTGGGTTTACTGGTGTGGGCATAGTGCTAAGTTAGACTTGGCAATGCTAAATTAAGTACTGTGAAGTCTGAGATTAAGTCCTGGTATTGCTAAATTTAGAATTTGCAATACAATACTCAATCAAACTTTGGCAAGTCCAAATCCAATCCGCACCCTACCTTTTCCACGAAAAAAATAAAAAACGGGGGGGGGGGGAAACGCTCCAAACAACACTGATGGCAGGAAGGGGGAAGGGGCAGGGGGCGGGGTCACATAGGCGTGCAGACCTTAGCCAGAACTTGCAGACCTACAGTGCTTGTTTGGTTGTGCCTGTGATAGGTGTTTTGTTTGTTTGCTTGTGTGTTTCTTTGTTTGTTTCTTTGTTTGTTTCTTTGTTTGCTTGCTTGCTTGCTTGCTTCCTTGTTTGCTTGCTTCCTTGGCTGCTTGCTTGTTTGCTTGCTTTTTTGGCTGCTTGCTTGCTTGCTGGCTTGTTTGATTGTTTGCTTGATTGCTTGCTTGTTTGTTTGCTTTCTTTATTTTGCTTTCTTTCTCTCTTTCCTTCTTTCTTTCCTTCCTTCTTTCTTTCTTTCTTTCTTTCTGTCTGTCTGTCTGTCTGTCTGTCTGTCTGTCTGTCTGTCTGTCTGTCTGTCTGTCTTGTTTGCTTGTGTGTTTGCTTGCTTGTTTGCTTGATTGTTTGTTTGGTTGTTTGTTTTCTTCATTATTTATTTCTTTGTTTGAATTGGTTTGTTTGTTGGTTTGTTTGCTTACGTGTTTGTTTGTTTGTTCGTTCGTGCGTTTGTTTGCTGGTCAGTTCGATTGATTATTTGTTTGCTTGTTTTGTTTTTTTGGTGTTTGTCTGCTTGTTTGTTTGTCTGCTTGTTTGGTTTGTTGTTTTTGTTTGTCTGTCTGTGTGTCTGTCTGTCTGCCCGTCCGTCCATCCGTCGGTCGGCCAGTCTGCCTGTCTGTCTCCGGGGTTGGTTGGTTGGTTGGTTGGTTGGTTGGTTGGTTGGTTGGTTGGTTGGTTGGTTGCTTGTTTGCATGCTTGCATGCTTGCTTGCTTGGTTGGTTGGTTGGTTGGTTGGTTGGTTGGTTGGTTGGTTGGGTTTGTGTGTTTGTGCGTTTGGTGCGTGTTTTCCATTCGCCCATTAAACAAAAAGAAAATAACAAAGAAAAATGAACACAGACCTCCAGTGATTTTTTTGTGTTCTTGGAGGGGTCTTCCCTTTCCACTCAACCTTAACCAAGTTGGGGACCCTTTGGCCTTGGAGTAAAGGCACGCTTCTTTCCTTCCCCCCCGGGGACCCCGTTTTTCCAACCACACACCTGTTCATTGGACCCGTAAACCCACAGGTTAACAGGAGGCCCATAAACCAAAAGGTTGACAGGAGGCTGAACAACAGCTGTGTGGTTGGAACAACCGTGTCCCTTTTCTTTTCCCACGGAACTTGTCGGGAGGTTTTTGCAGACCGGCAAAACGGCGGTCCCCGAGGTCTGCCCCGGCTCCGCCTGTCCCGGCGAGCCCAAAGAGCGTGGCGGAGAGCTGCGGAGCTCAGAAATTTGAGAATTTCGGGTGCAGGCGGTCCGAAAAATGGCTGTGGAATGCTACTGCTACCATTTTGGGGGTAGGTGCACCACCCAGTTAAGTCTATTTCAGTGGGGATTGGGATGTTCACTGGGGGTACGGGATTTTGACCCATGGCCAATGGGGTGATTCTGACGGTTTCTGGAAGTTGGTCAAGAGTCAGCGATTGGGGTGGCTTCCCGTTACACGGTGACTTTGCTGAGGACAACGAGGCGGGTCAATAATCAAGAACCCCGTGTGTGCGCATGTATTTAGCCCCTTATATTACTCATTCCCCGCATTCCTGGACTTTCAGCATTTGGTGCTGTGGTCACGCCGTTTGCCAGAGCAATCCGACAAAATCCGACAAACATGGAAGAATCCCTGTGGTGGCAAGACACTGTGGTAGAATTCTGGAGGCTAACATGAAACTTTCGAAACGAATAAGCCCTTGTAGAGGAATGTCATGGAATGTCCCTTCGGGAAATGGACCCATAGGGTTATACTATGGCTGCGGGTGAAAACCAATGGTACCATTTAAAGGTAGGTGCACCACCCATTTTAGCCATTTTTACTGGGGATTGGGATGTTCACTGGGGGTACGGGATTTTGACCCATAGCCATATGTTAATTTGCCAAATTGCGGGGATGTATTGCCAGACTCAGTGGCTCAGTTCGCCCTGTCAAGGCGAACCGCGCAGCGTTGGCGAGAGCCCACCAAGGACTCGGGACGCGAGTGACAGGTTAGAAACTAGCCGGGTTTCGACTAAGCGGATTAAGGCCCCTGAAGGCCGTTCTTCTAGTGTTGTGGAAAATTTCACAAGGAAAAGGCTCAGCGACTGGCATCATTTGGCTAATTCGGACGCTAGAAAACGCCAAACCCAGTCTGACTCGGAAGGACTCAGTTTTCAGTTTTCGTGCTGGCCCTAAGGCGAGAAACATTGAACACTTGAACAGAATGGCAGAGATGGGGGCCCAGCACCTGGGCATATCTTTCATTCACTTTCGGAGACTGGAACGCAGGGAAGCTCCCGTCTCAGGGCCAAACGTGTCCAATCTCCACCCACGGCACTGCTCAAATACCATGTTCTCATCTTGACTGCTGGATTGGATCTTGGGGTTTTCCACTAAACCCCCAAGAAGTTTAAGAAACAACACTTTTGCAGCGGGGTCAGCAGCAACCAAGTCATTTTTTGTAGGGAGCCTTCAAATTGCCAGGAGCATCCCCGGTAGCTCGCCCCGTAGCATTGCCGAGAGCAGGGCTGAGAGTATCGAGGACGAGCCGCGATCCCCAGTGCCAGTCGTATTTTCCTGGGGTTGGTTTCTCCGGATGTCGGTTTGTCTCAAAGCAGTTGTTGGAAGCATTTTGCATTTTTGCTTATTGTGGTTCAGTGGTTGAAATCCAACCACTTAGCTGCTAAATTTTATATGTTTGCTCCCCTTCCAACGTCAACCAAGACATACGGATGCATACCTTTGAGTTATGCTGCGTTTGCCGGGTGTTGCCTGCGCAGATTTGGTGCAGGGCGTGCAATGCATTGAGTGACACGGGGAAGGAGGACGCTCACGCCTCAATCCTCTCAAGCTGGGGGGGGTGTTGTAGGTTTGTATATGCCATCCTTAAGTGGCGATGTCATGATTCCATAGTCAGCTTGTGCACTACTCAGAGGCTCCTGGGGCTTTCAATGGAAGACCCGACCACTCCGTTAGACACCCGGAGGTGGTTGGGGGTCTCAAAACCAGGTTGTTTGGAGGCCCTAAATCAATCGGGAGCCTCTGGGTAGATGAGGGCGCAGACCTTCTAGAGGTCTGACGCATTTCCGTTGTGCAGCGTGGCTTCCTTGCCAAGAAAACCAAGCTGAAATTGTGTTTTAGCTTGCTGCCGGCCGCCGACGCTGTGTGGCTTTTATCACTATTGTGCCTTTTTTGTTTTTTCCTCGGGGATCTTCCAACGCAATGTCCGTTCACAAAACCTCATACAGCATGCCGGGCACATTTGACATGGACGGCCCCAAGAGGCGCAGATTCCTGAGCGTGTCAGAGAGACCACTGTGCAACCGCCAGACGTGTTTGGTGTGCACTGGGCGTTTGGGAGCAACATACCCATGCCACGAATCAAGGCCACAACTCCTGCCGGTCGGCTGACTGCAGATGTTCGAAGCACACCGTTTGAGAGGCAATGGGATTCCATGGGAAGGGCCACGTCATTGTTCTTCGAGAAGGACAGGGGAAACACTCTTGTTTCAATCCAAGGGCACACCGATAAATAATTGCCACAAGAGCATCAGTAAGCATGCCAGCGGGTTGGGTTGGTCAAAATCAATAAAACCATTTCTTATGCCACATGGGTCTTCCCACCACGGATTGCGGAAATCGGTTGGAGATCCGGGGGGGTCCATTTTGAGAACCCAGTTCGCGCAGCATCCAGCGCTTGAGGCCCATCGTGGCCTTGTCCGAGTCGGAGGAAGGAGCAGACGAGGCCCGGAAGGGAAGAGACCCCAAGGGAGAAGCATTGCGTCTGGCTTGGGCCTACGGCCCATGTTCACTGGGCACGGGAGCTGCAATATGGGTGTGGCTCAAAATTTAAGGGCCAGGGTTGCGTAGGTAGTCTCTGGCTCCATTTTCCAAGTGGCATTTCAGCACCGGTTTTTGAGGCACAGCCATATGGGTGCCTCTCACAGAATCGTTTCTCATGCTAGTGTTCAACGCTGGTTTCTCGCCTGGACCCTCGAGCCTCAGCGGTTGCGTTGTCTATTCCTCTAGGGGGTGGTTCCTTTTCCATGCTTTTCAACCAGCGTTTTTTTTTCTCCAAAAGCCCGGCTGTTTCCCCAGGGTTTTGGGTGGTTGTTTAGAAAGAAGGATGCATGGAAAGAATGGAGATGGAAGGTACGCCTAGAATTCCATGTCCTCCCGGGGCTGCGGTCGGATATCGGAAACTCAAAAAATTGCCCCTGGCAAGCCAAGGGCCCGAGCCACCAATGGAGCTCACCAGCCCCCGCTTTGAGCTTGTATTCCTAAGCAGGTAACTTCATTGCTATTGGGTTGGATCTTTAGACTTTAACTTTTTGGAAAATCAAGGCATTTTCCACTAAACCCCCAAAAAGTTAAACTTTTTGCAGCGGGGTCAACAGCAACCAAGGTAATAGCTTCCCCCGAGTCCCCCCAAACTATAGATTCGATCTTAGGGACCGTAAGGACCTTCATCAAGTTGAGCTTGTTTCAGCCTGGTAAGGCCTCTGATATGAAACCTGCCAGGCCCTATCTCCAAATCCGAACTGCTCAAATTAGCGGGGTCCCTTTTGGTGTCCATGTCCAACCATGGAATTCCAGAAAAGATCCGAAACGCAGAGGTCCAGCTGGAGAGTGCGAAAATCTGCGCGGCGCTCAGTGCACTTCAATGACTTACCTCTTAAAAACACACTTTTCAACTTTTTGGGTAACATGGGCTATATGTCTGTAAAAGATGAAAACTTCCCCAGGGCTTGGAGTTTTAAGGGGTAAGATGATGTTTTTGGGGAATTTGGGGGAAGTCCCTGCAGCAAGGATGCCCGGACCCCCGGACCCCCGGACCCGAGGCGGCGAACTGGCTGAAGCACGCGCCCGGATTTTCCACTCAGAATGAGACTCGTTGAAAATCTGGGGCTCGGGATGTGGCAACCGGGGTCGTTATCTCCCCAGTCCCTGGAAATTTATATACTGTTTGGAAAGACACTTGTAGTAATACAGAAACCGTTGGACTTGTTTTGGGCCATCCACTCGGGAAGTGAGTTATATGTCTCACTTTGGGTGATCCAAGACTTTAGGGCCATCCTAGAATGAGTGCCCTTTGGTAGGGTGATGTTTAAGGGGGACATTGAAACACAACAAACTGTGTGGTGTGTTGGCAAGTTGAGTGGTTGTAAAAGACATGCTTCGGTCGATTCGTTTGAACAAGTGAGGGGTTCTAAGCAAAGTTCCAACTCTGGGTTGTTTCTGCCTTGGGCCTACATGGCCACCGCTTTGCTTTGGGCTTTGAGTTCTTGTGTTTCTTGACCTAGTGCCATGCTTGCTGGAAGAGAACGCCACAAAACGACTCGCCGCACAATGGCCCTCAGGACAGGTCTCACCCAAGCACTCTGCATACCCAGCCCAACGGAGCTGCGTTCAGAGCACGCAGGCCACCAGCCACCCAAGCACGGCATGTACCAACGGGCAGACATACCAACCGGCAGCCGCCCCTCCACCCGCACACCGGTAGCGGGCAATTCCTGGAAATAGCATTGGCGCTACGAAATCAGCCGGATGGGGAAGAAAGCCTCGAGATTGAAGAAGAGCTCGAGTCTTGCCATGAAGTTCTGGCCGGGCGGGTTTTCGCGATCAAGCACCGTTTGCTTGCTTTGGGTGGAAGGGGGGAAAACAGCGGTCCGTGTGACTGTGGTGTTGAAGCCCTCACAACAGCTTGGTAGATGTTGTTCCAATTAGGTTTCACTCAGGTGGCAGGTTTGGACTTAACCTGAAAATGTGGCCACTTACGCTTGCTGTTAGACTTGCGGCAGGCTCTCAGATTGCATCTGAACGCTGAGGAGCAAGATCTCCTTGGCCTGGAACTGAGGCTTTGCTTGATGACCTTAATTGAGCGGTGGGCTGGCTGACCCCGGCTAAAGCGTTCCGAGTCCGAGGCCAGCACTCACTCCACAGGCTCTCTGGAAGATGTGAGCCAGGAGCGTCAGCACAGGTGTCGGTCAACAGGTGGGCATGGCGGCGCCCACCCCGACACCTTGAGCCTGAAATCATGGCGGGGCAAAGGGGGTCAACGAGGGCTTGGGTTACGCAAGGAACCGGTCTTCTTTGTGGCTTCCCGACAACAATACTGGAACATTTGTGGCTTCCCGACAACAATACTGGAACATCGGATTGGCCAACCCTCCAGTTTGAACAGCCCAGAGCATAGGGTTTTTTACCCCATGCTTTGGAACGAGGAGACGTCGAAGTCTCAAGAGAGGGAGACTGAGGCATCTCAGGCCGCAGAACGCGCGCGCGCGTTGACGGCCGAGTAGGTCATGTGAGGGTACCCCTTTTTGTGGGGGGCGCGTTACAGGGTAAGAGACATCACCCATTTCGGTGAGCTTTTTGGGGGACACAACAATGCCATGGACTACAAAGCCTTTGACGATACCTGTAGGTCAGATGCTCGAGTTGGGCTCAAGCACCGGCTCTCCCCTTTTTTGGTTGGGAGGGTTCCCCTACTAAAATAAATAATAAAGAAACATGTTGGTACCCTTATTCTTCTCCCAGCCATCCCCTTAGCTTTTTTAACCTTTTAGTGTTTAGTGGCGGTTTCCCCTTAACCCACTAAAAGTTAGACTTTTAGGGGATCTGAGGGCAGCCCACATTCTAACCTCCACTGGACCTCGAAAAGTCAGTCGCCATGGCGACGAGCCGTCGCCTCGCCCGCTGGCTCCCAGCTCTTGCGGCACCTGCCGCGTACGCTCTGCACCAGCGCCTCGGAGAAAGAGCGGAACCGCCCGCATCCCGGTCAAGGGAGGGGAGATAGTACTCACTTCCTGAGTTCATGAACTTCAAACCTTTGGGGGAAGACCATTTTAGTGGTAAATATAAAGTTTGGACTTGTTTTGGGCCATCCACTCAGCCAGTGAGATTAGGAGGGAATACGACATGTCACCCGCATCAGCCTCCCCCCAAAAAGATTGGGAGGAGGAATTGCTGGGATTGGGGTGTCTTCAGTCGCTATCCTCAAAAAGACGGTCAGTCTTTCATTGTGATTGTCTGTGTTGTCGCTGGATGCTAGCTGCTAGATAGAACATAAGTCTCCGGTAGCAGAACATTCCTTCTCCCAAAGTACGGGATGGATCCCAGCAGCAGGTGATAGTGTTGACCCAGGATTAATGAACCCCTCATCGATTTATTGGGGGTGGCCCATTTAAGGGGGCATCCTTACTAGGGGGAACACGCCCTCTACGTACAACTCTCGGTTTTATTCATCCAAGTCAGCACCATCAACGAAGGAGGGGGGGGCAACACATGTCTCCGCCGGAGCAAACGCATGGAGGCATAAGCTCTTGCTAGTCTGGGGTCAGGTGTCAAGGGCAGCCATTGGATTCCTGGGGCGCTGAGAGATTGAGTACATGCAGTCAACTTTCCGCGGACGAGCAGCTTCGGTGCCGCGCTTTGCTTGCCAATCGGCAAGAGCTGGACAGCCGTTTCCAATCGTGGAAGTGGAGGGGCTTATGCAAGAGGGCATCAGTCTTCCCTTTTTCCTATCCACTTGTATGGTTGGAAAGAGGGCACTTGCAAGACTTCTTCTTTCGGGGCTTGCCGCGCACATGGGCTTGTCTGGCTTCCCTAAGTTCTCCCTCTTGATTCCCGCCAAAAAGGATGTCCACATGAAATCAGCTGCGCAGCCTGTAAGGTCCTACTTGCCGGCATCTCAGTCAAGCTCTACATGCCAACACTCGCAGCTGGACAAGCTCATCACCCGAGAGCATGTTCAAGAGCTGGAGTCGCAGGTGGCTTGCACCCGAAGAAACCCGACATGTTCACCCCCAGATTAAAAAGGTCCCTGTGCTTCACCCAGGAATGAAGCTCTCAAAGGAAAACCACCCCTGTTCATCAACCAGATGATTGTCCATCATTTGTTGGTGGAGTCCCGTTGTCCTCATGAAATTGCGTTTTTCCACCAGGAGTCCATCATTTCCGATCATTTCTTCCTTCCATCATTTGGCCAACCTCTTTCGCAGGGTTTTGGCCATGTACTCAGGTGTTCATGGCCCAAATGTGTGCCACACAAGACACAGAGAGGTACCGATGACTGGAACAAGTTAACGAGTTGGCTCACAGGCTTGCTTGCTTGGTTGCTTGGTTGCTTGTTTGTTTGCTTGCTTGTCTGTTTGTTTGTTTGTTTGTTTGTTTGTTTGTGTGTTTGTGTGTTTGCTTGCTTGTATGTTTGCTTGCTTGTATGTTTGCTGGCTTGCTTGCTTGCTTGTATGTTTGCTGGCTTGCTTGCTTGCTTGCTGGCTGGCTTGCTTGCTTGCTTCCTGGTTTAGTTTGTTTGTTTGCCTGCTTGTTTTTATGATTCCTTGTTTGTTTGCTTGCTTGCTTGCTTGCTTGCTTGCTTGCTTGCTGTCTTTCTTTCTTTCTTTGTTTCTTTCTTTCTTTATTGCTTTCTTGTGTTGTGTTTGCTGGTTGTGTTTGTGTGTTGTTGTGCTGTGCTGTGTTGTGCCGTGCTGTGTTTGCGTTGTGTTGTTTGTTTTTGTTTGTTTCATTTGCGTGCGCGCGTGTTTTCAAGTGATTTTTCCAGATGCAACCCTTGCCCGAAGCCTGGCAGGGCTTTGTGGTGATCCCTGCGGCAGTGCAGCAGGTTCGCCGAAGAGCGGGGCAGAATGGCCTTACCCTTCTGAAGCAAATGTGCTGTGTGTGTGTGTGGCTCTGTGTCTCTGCGTCTCTGTGTGTGCTTGTGTCTGTGTATCTGAATGATTCTGAATGTGTGTGTTTGTGAGGGTGCAGTATGCCTTTTAAATTCGTGCCTTTTGACATGACAGCAAAAAGGGAGGGGCCTAGGAATCATTTTTTTTCTGTGGCAGGCTCGCCTCGAGGGTGCCCAGTTTTGGGGCGTCCATTTCTCTGTTCGGGGGGCATTGTGTGCGGCCGTATGTGCAGCTCGCCGCTACTGAGCTCCAGGGAATGGCCTGGAAGCAGTCATGGCAAGATGGGCAGTGCTTTCCCCTCATCGCCTGTCATTTGCACCGGGCTTGAGGTTTTGGGGGATCTAGGTCCATGGTTCAGTGTTCTAGGGTTTATGTTTGGGCTCCCGGGTTGAGGTGTTGATTTGTTAGTTCTCTAGAGGCTTGGTATCTTGAGGTCAAGACCTTGACAAAGACGCCTAAATGGGGTTCCAATGAGAAAATGCCCCCATTGCATGCCTTCTTGTCCTGTGCACGCCTCCAGACTGCAATCCGATGTCTAGAGGCCTTCAGGGGACATGGGACTCTTGAAGGGAAGCCAGCAGACGCCCCGCCGTTCTTTGGGGGCGGAGGGTTATGAATAAGGAAGCATTGGCCTCTCCTCTTGACTGCTACTGGGTTGGATCTTTAGACTTTAACTTTTTGGGAAATCAAGTTGTTTTTTTTAATGAAACCTCAAAAAGTCAAAAAAAGCAGGGGGGTCAACAGCAACCAAGTCTTTTTGGTTAAAGTTCACCGCCTGGACGCGTGGATCGGTTGGACAGTGGCAGCCTTTTCCTTTGCGGGTGCCGCCATTGACGAGCCTGGCTCCAAAAGCCCTCCCAATCATTCCCCATCCTCCTTTTAGATCCCTTTGTTCGACGGGTCCCCATTGACAACGGGCCTGGCCCTATCCTTGCCCACCTCACCGGGCAACTAGAAGTCTTTTCCCTGTCGGCAGGTGCTCGGCCATGCCGCTTTAGAGCGAGCTCGGCGTGATGCGAGCAGCTGCCACTTTGGGAAGTCTTCAAACCGAGGACAGAGACCGAGCTGAAGTTTACGGCTTGGCCCTCATCCCCTAATTCATGCAAATGGTCCAACGTCCATGAAGACAGGGGAGTCTAAAAACACATTCCCATGGTTTCTCTTCTGCTACGATTTGCCAGTTACGGGTGGAATGGGGTGAATTTTGCGGAGCGAACGGCGACGTCCAACAGGTTGCTGATTGCTCAAGTGAAGCAAGGTCAGTGTACATTGTTGGGCAAAGCACTTGGAGCGGTCAAGCGATTCAGACTCGTACGGCTCGTTGCTCACCTCAGGTTACACCAGGTTGTAGGATGGTTCATGCGCATGTTTGACAGCACGGCATCGTATCCAGTCGGCACGCGGCAAAGGACCGTGCGAGATGATGTAGTATGCTGGATTTCTGCGAGCGATGATTCACCGGGTGAAGGTGGCTCAGCTTTGAAATCAGCCTGGTTGTGGCAGCGTTGCCGAGCGTGGTCCCTTGTCGCTTGTGGCAATTCATTTTTCAAACTCCCCATTGCTAGTTCAGAGGTATGTCGACACATTTCTTCCATACCCACCCACCAGTTTGGAAACCTGCCTCAGGGGCCTCCTCTACAATTAGGGCCTTCTGGGGTGCGCCAAGAGCCAGGCAACAGGTCTTAGTTTCGGACTTCTTACTTTTGAGTTCGGACTTGGTCCATCAGGAAATGAGGACACAAACAATCTGGGCTCCTCGGAATGGTGGCTAGACATACGCCCAAAGCAAAGAGAGAACCTGCCTGGAGCATTCTAGACAACTAGTTCCCTCTTCAAGAGACTCCTAGCGGGTTCCATGGCAACGCTGCCTTTCGGTGCCACTTTTTGGTCAAACGAGTGTTCAATTTATTTGTGTGTGCGTCATTTGATTGGATGTGGGCCTACAGTAAAACCACTCAAATGTATTTTTGGGCAAAAACAAGCGGCAGCACTGTTAGTAGCCAGGGTTCGCAAAGATAATAGGAGTTCGCCTCTTGGTTGGAAAGCCAACCAGATTAGTGCGGGAAGGGGCGTTCCTGCTTTAAGGACGCAACTTGTCTTCCACCCTGCAAATTGAGGTCAAGCTTCCTTTGGGGGATACCCTTTAGGGTTCCATGACGTTCCATGTGAGTTGTAGGATTGTTTGGGTTCAATTTCAAATGAGGGACGCTCAAAAAGTTGTAGTTTCCTCGTTGTTCCCCCATAAAATCCGCCAAACGTGGTTTCCCCAAAGGCGCCAATGCGTCTGCCGGACTGAGGCCTGGTGAGTTGCGGTGCGTTGCTGCGCGGCGCCGCAGCGGCCTTGGAGCGTCACGGCTACCGAGGCTCCAGGCGGGGTGGGGTGGGGTGGCTATGGTGAGGTTTTCTGGGTCCCGAGTAGTGCCCTTTTACGAACTTTTTTGGGGGAGGGTTCCCCTCCTAAAATAGACTACAGAAAAAGAATCGGTACCCTTATTCTAACCTCTCTCTACTGGAGGACCTAGTTTTGAAAAGGCGCGGATGTGGATGTATCCTTTGAGCAGCCCTGAAGGGGGCCAGACGCGGGCTGGAGCCATCAGCCAAAAACAGTCAGATCAAGCGGGCCAAAGGTTGTTCGGCATGTTTCAACAAGTGCCTTTGCCTCGGAAAGGCAAAGATATGCCAACTCTAAGCGACTAAAATTCTTGAGATCTGTGCTTGAGAGAAATCAATGGGAAACCACCCGATTTGAACGACCCAGCCAAATCCTTTACTGTGAGGCACCACAGGGTACCGCTGCTGCTGCAGCTCAGTCGCTTCGAGCCTGGCGGCAGAGGCTATGGCAGGCGGGTCGAATCGAATTGTTTAGTCCCCAAACTTGTGGAAATGTTTGTTGTAAACAATCACTTCCTGAGTTCCTGGACTTTCAACTTGGGAAGACCATTTTAGTGGTAAACAAGAAGTTTGGACTTTTTCGGGCCAATCTACTCGGGAACTGTTTGGCCAACCCTAGGCTTGGCTCAGAATTCTGGATGGGTTTTCCCATGCAATGTTCCTTCAAGAATTATGGGAGCTTGTCCTTTCGAGTATTGGGCTCTGTTTTCTTTTGGTTTTGGAACACTAGTTTAGAATTGGGCCAATCCTAAGTTAGCATTGGGCATAATTTTTGGGGAGGGCTTCTGGACCGGAATTCTATTCTATGTTGTATTTGTATATATTCAATTGGGCCAATACACTCCCTCTGGAAATGGAACCAAGTCTTCCAAAACATTCCTGGGAGCTTCCATGGAATGGAATCGTCTGGGGGAAGGTGCTGAGTCCCTCAACGTGCAGGCACTTGGACTGCAACTTCCAATCGGCCTTTGAGTTGGGAATTTCCTCCTGGCTGCGCGCCGCTGGCAGCCGCGCCCGGGTCTTGACGGCGATGGTCTACCTGAATGACCCCGACTGGGCAGGAGCCACACCTTAAATGGGTGTGGGTCAAAATTGAACCACCAGGAGCCTGCAGGTTTGAGTCCTCGGTTCCATTTACCAGGCTTCGATGTTGGGTTCCCTTTTTTGACCCACAGTCAAATCAGGTATGTGGCCTGTGGCTACGCCCGTTCCTTTTTGAGGCCAAATGGGGAAAGGCCTAGCGCCCAAGTCACCAAGATTCTGTACGTGGAATTGAGGGAGCAAGGGAAGCTAAGGGGTTCCAAAATGTTCCGCAAAGTTTCCACTAGCCCCAAGCTACTAGTCTTGGAATCAATGGGCCAACTTCGGGCTATGTCAGACCGCCCTAGGCCTGCCCTACACCAACCCTAAACCCATATTAAATCAACCATAAGGCTACCCCAAACCGACCCTCACCCCTAACCCACCCTAAATCCGCCTCAAACGTACCCTAAACCTAGACTTTGGTGCATTTTGCTTGGATGTTAGGACTTTAACTTTTTGCCAACTAATGGATTTTCCGAATTAAACCACCAACAGTTAGTCACTTTCTGCAGGGGAGCAGATTTCGCAACCGAGTAGAATTGCACAGAATATCGGCGTTCCTTCTCCAGTGCCTTCAATCAAACGATTCAAACCTCCGAAAGGGAGCCATAGGAAATGCCCTTCGCTTAGTGGCGCCTAGTCACCAGCATAGGTGTCCTTTTTGGTTGATTTGGTGGAAACATAGTTTGGGCGATTCCTGGTTTACCTGGTGGTTCAATCAACTACCAGGGCCATCTATTTCCCAAAAAGGACACCCATGATCACTAGCAGTCACTGCTAGGTTGCGATGGTTGCGCTTGCGAGAGGGCTCTGAGTCAGTGACATCTCCAGGAAGAGATGGTGGTCAGCTCCGAATCTTCCACGGGCCGCAGTGGGACGGTTCTCGCTGGCGGGACCACACCGACGTTTTCCCCGCTGGGGGGACTTTGGTGATCTTCAAGTCGCCCCAGGTCGGGGTTTGGTTCAAGGGAGACTATTAAATATGCTTATCTTGCATGAGTGATTCCAGAACAACAGCCAGCCAGATGAGAGACAATAGCCTTCCTGCCACGTATTCTTTCAGCAACCTTTTTGGTTCCCCTTCAAAAGGTGACTGGCCGGGGCCTGCAGGTGCCGCATCAAGTCCTTCCTCCGCGAAAAGTTGACAGGCAGGATGTTGGAGTGAGAGATCCACACACCAGTTTAGTGGCAATTAAGAAGTTCGGATGAGTGTGGGCACTGTGCGTGCCCACGCAGATAGTGAAGACTTGGCCCTTTGTAGCCTCATTTGACTCTTCATGTGCGAGACTTAGGGCAAGCGCTGGTAGTATAGCATGCCAACGCTTGCACGACGCAGCGAGTGCAGCAGTTGACTCTTGAGCCTGCGCTGGGCAGGCACGCCTTGACATGCTGGATCGCCGGTAAGGTCAGTTGATGGATGGATCTCCCATCAACCAGATGGAGCTTGATGGTCACTCGCAGGCTGCCCAAGAAGGACGCGCTGCTGACCAAGTCTCTAGTGTCATCGTGTTATAGGATTGACGGGGACCCAGGGGTTCCGCAATCAATCACCCCTGGGTTGAAGTCATCCTTCGGGGTAGCGCAGCATGGAACGCTGCCGCTGATTACACCCATGTCTCCGGGAACTGCATCTAAAAAGGGCAGCTTGACCCAAGATCCCGCAGCGCCCGCAGTGCCAGCGCGAACACAATTGCCTAGACTTCCAGTGGTGCAATTCGAAGAGGGGGTTCCTTTACAGTCAGCATACTGTTCTCTAAAGTGAGCGACCAACGACAAATCCCCCGCTGGAAGTCGGTTTTGCGGAGTGAGAGAGTTTGCGCCTGAAGCATGCACGGGCCGTCTCCCTTCCCGTGCGACTGCCCGTGGCCACTTTGGTGTCCAACAGTTTGGGTTTGCGTTGCCCAATCCACTCAAGTGAGTGGTTGGGACCGCGAGCCGCATGCTCTTCTGGAGCGAATGTCGTCAAAGTACACCCCAGGAGACTTTACAGGAGCGCGTGATGACTTGCAGCATTGCTGTTGCATCACCATGCCATTCGGCCTGCATCAGGGGGTTTGTCTCCCACTTCTGTGATACAAGGCAATCCCTCCATTGTGTGGGGGGGGTTCATCTTTTGGAGGCCGTGATTGTTGTATCAGAAGTGGTTCCATTTCGCACAGCCCTGATCAGTCCCGTCAGGAGGAGGCAGCTTCTATGATGAGCTGCTATGGTCCGCCATGGCAGGCATCGCTTATGGTCGCTTGTCTAACTAGCCTGCGCGACAGAAATCGCCACGCGGTTAGGGGCTGAGGTGCGACTGCGACTCTGGTGGGGCACCCGCTGGATACCGTAAAGACTTTCATGCAGCAGCTCGGCAAAGTGTCCTGGGCTCTCTTTTGTCTCCTTGCCTTCTGCTGAAACATGCCTAAACCTGCAGGTTTCAGTGTGTGTGCGCTTGAAGCTTGGCATCCCAGTTGTCAGTCAACTTACTCTGAGTCGGTTGGGTTTGTGTTCCTTCGGGCGCCGGCCGCCGGGCTGTAGGACCGAGCAGCTCTCCGGGCGCGACAAGGCCTCCACGGTGCAGACCGCGGCCAGCATCGCGCGGGCGGGGGGTCGACGAGTCGGCGAGTTGCGGGCTGGGAGATGGGTATGTCGCGTCTCCAGCAATCCCGCGGATCCGGGCTCATGATTGTTTTTCTGATTCTGACTCACCTGTGGTTCTCAAAGGGGGGGGACCCCAACAAAAAAATGAGGGAATGACCCGTATACACCATCCCCTATGGTTTTCTTTATTTGGGAATCCCCAGGTTCATTCCAAGGCTCATTCCCTACTTCTCGCACCAGCAAGTCGGAGAGGGGCTCAAAAAATCTGAGGGTTTTTGTATCACACCCTGGGATGACAAATCCTTGGCAAATGACCTAGAATGGTTCAAAATAACACGGTTGTTTTATCCAAATGTGCCTAAATGGGGTCAATTCTCAGTGGGTGTATTCCCAGGGTGCAAGCACCAATAGAAAAAATGAGCTGTTTTGTATTCGGGTTTCCCATGTGACAGGTGGGCCCTGTGACCTTCTACCGCGGTGCCGTGCCAGTGCTGGCCGGTGCGCTGCTCTTCCGGTCGCTGCCCTTCACGGTCTACTCAGGCGGCTCCCACCCTCCCCCCCCCCCGGCTTTGTGGGGGCTGTTCAGGGTTGTGGGATCAGGGGGTTTATCCAACCACTTCTGTGATACAAGGGGATCTCCCCCCTTGTATGGGGGGGGGTAGTCTTTGGGAAGCCCTTTTTGTTGTATCACAGCAATGGTCATTTCTGATGGAGATCAAGGACCCGGGCGAACGTCAATCTAACAAACTGAAACAGGCAGTTAGGAGAATTCCTTTGCCAGATGGTGGATTTTGAACAATCCAGTTGGGTATGAGCCCTCTATGGTTCGTCTACTAGATCTTTACTTGCAAATCAACTAGGGGTTGATTCTAGAGGTTCCTATTTGGGACAAATGTTTTTTGTTGCAATGTTACATACCACAATGGACGTTTACTTGAGAGGGTAGGTGATTCGTTTACTTGAGAGGGCAGGCCACACTTTTGTGGTTTGTTTGCTCGATTTTTTTTCCTGCCTGAACTGGCGCGGATGGTGGAAGTGGAGTGTGAAGACCAGGGTTGCCGAGCACGTCTCAGCCGATTTGAGTGCAAGGCCAAGGGTTTTCAGTGGATTCAGACCGGGTCGCCGGTAGAGCGTGCCAGCTCGGCACCTACCCGGAGTTGTTGTTGAGTCATCCCAACCCAGTTGAAATGATGGCATTGACCATCGCAGACCCGTTAAGAGGCTCGAGAAAGAGAGCCCAGGTTGTGCAGCTCCAATTTGGTTATGAAGTTATGAGCATACTATCCGAAGTGGCCGCTCGCCCTGTGAAGAAGTGACGTTTCAATCCACAGCCAGTGCTTTTTTGACCTGAAACAGGGATGCGTCATAATTGGCAGGGGCCCTTTCTGATATGGTCTACAAACCTGGAGCGCCCTGCCGAGCTTCAAATGATTGCACCCGCAAGCACTGCAAATATTTGCTGTACACGGGGCCACTCATGAAGTTTCCACCAAAAACCAGAGAACTGTCAGAGGACCCACTCAATATCCCATGTCGAGATGGGGAAGCAAGGTCATCTCGTGCCATGTGTGCAGCGCCAGGCACCTACAGCGCTTTGCCACACTCCATGGGCGAAAGTGATCGTGTCTTGCTGTCCGGCATCGCAGCCGCGCTGGGCCGCACTATCGTGGAGCCTCAGCTGCTTAGGGATTATGATTTCATGGTCATCGGATTGGCGGCAGGTTTCTCCCATTAACATGGAACCTGACGTTCGGGGAGTCCAGGTTTGGACCATTTTCCTTCTAAAGGGGTTTTACCAAGCGTCAGGTTCTCTGTTACTTGGTGGGAGGGTAATTCAAGCGTAGTGAATTAACTCGTAGGGCTTGAGGCAGGTTTCCCATGGCCACAATTAGAGGTTTCAGGTTACAAAGGGGGTTCATAGGATCATTACTCAATTACGTTTTGCAGGTGCCCAACCCGGCAGTCGCCTGCCAAAAAAGCGCGCAGGGTGCTAACAGCCAGTATGTTTCGCTTTCCCAACCGAAAGTGTATTGTTGTGCGTGTGTTGGTTTCTATTGTTCCCACCAGTTGACACCAAATTGTAACTGAGGGGTCCGTGCTTTTCTGCGAGGAAGGTGTGAATTTGTTTCTTGGAAAAAAAACACTGCAAAAAGGCTGAAAAACAATCCCCACCAAAACCTTCTTTTTTCAACAGCAATCCTTAATCCTCATGCCAGATGGTTGCCGTGTTGCCCGCGTTATGTGTGTGTCTGTGTATATTTATACGTGTTTTGCCCTGTGTAGGAACGACTGGGCACAACTTGGCGGAACCCCCCCCATTCCCCGTTTCCTCGATAGTAGAAGAACTGCATAAAGTCGCAACTCATGGTGTTTCCGGCCAGCTTGACCTGCAATGCAATGCACTCAGGAGAGCCCTTGCGAAGCGCTCAAGACGCAGAAGCAGGTTTGGGACAGAGGCTACTTGGAAACTATCCGAGCAGGCCACATGTGGCAAGGCCGGCCCAATCCAGAGGTCACGAAGTAA